AATATGACGACATTAAATCACAATTACCTTTATTCCTCTCATTGCTTAAATGTGTCATGTGACTTTATATATTACATTTATGACTGTATGTCTAAATGTGATGATTGAGACACAGTAAAAGTTAATAATACAGAAAATATGTATCAAAATTGCTTAAATGGATCTCACAATCAGCTAACAAATCGTGACGTATAGATAAAATTGTGAGACTTAAAGTCACATTGTGAGATAAGAAGTTACAGTCATGCTAGAAAATAAGTCAAAATCACAACAAGTCACAAGATATAGTCACATTATGATACATAAAGTTGCAATTATGAGATATAATGCCATATTGCAAAATACAAAGTCACATTGTGAGATATAAATTGCAATTACAATAAAAAAATTATAGTTGTAAGATATAAAGTCATGGTAAATTTGTATAATGGGGCAATTTCTTGTAATTGAGCTTTTATGTCTCACAATTTGACTTTATTGCAATATATGAAGTAACAGTTGAAAGATATACGGTCACCTTGCGAAATATAAATGAGTGGGCTTCCATTGTAACTAGTCTACTTTATAAAGTAGACCAAACATGGAGAAACTTGTTCAAGAGCAACACACCGTCCAGACTATACAGCATTCAGCATGTCTCATCTCGAAATATCTCATCACATCCAAGCAAACCTAAGATTAATGTCTGTCAGTAGTGAAAATAGGAAGTCTTGAAGCATTTTACATTACCACAGTAGTTGCCATGGAGGAGTTTGGTAGAACTGGAAAATGTCTTCACAGTCCTCACGACTTTACAGTTGAATAGTGATTTAAATTTCAATGTCAGCCCTCTGAGCAAGCCAATGGATTGAATCGTTCAGTTCCTTTTGAGGAGTCCCAGGTGTTCTTACACTATTCACTCGAGCTAATCCTTCCCAAGAGCTGAACAGGTTTTTGTTTGTGATATGAATCATCATAGTTTAAAATAAAGTCATGACATAAGCACAATGATGGAGATCAGGCAACTGCCTTTTTTGTTATGTTTGTAACTACAGAAGCCAGGTCTATCTGTTGAATTGTCCTTGCTGGAGTTTGTCGGCTCTCCCTCTGTTTTTTCCTTGTTATCTGAGTGCAGAGCAAACCACCAGTTAGTCTTCCTGTGTTCACACACACTTCCCTCTTGACTGAGGAAATCTTGTGGAGCAAAACTGTCCCCTCTGAGATGTTTTGATGCATATTTTTATTGTTGTGTATGCAGAAATACCTAACACTTTGCATTATATGCAAAAACTGATTGCGTAGGATATATGAGGGCAGCATAAGAAAGTTTAGTAATTTAATGGACAGATTTAAGCTTTTACTTGACCTTTGTGTGAATTTAAGAGAAAACACTTTCCAAGGCTTTCTCACACTGCATATTAACCGTGCATATTAGCAGGCTCCAGTAGGTTATTGAGTTAAGAACTCTGTTCGCTCAATAAATACATTGTTTTATTGCTTCTCTGTGCCTTTTAGAGGGGATTAGTCTGGGGTTAGTTTAATGTGTGTGTGTGTGACTTTAGGGGTATATCCAAGCATAGAGTCATGCTTTCCTAAAAGAGAGGATATTTCCACCATTTGTGATTCTTTGATTGGGGGAACCTTTGGGTCCTGTATTTGTTTGAATGAAAAAAAAAAATGCTTTAAAAAACAAACAAATCAAAACAACAGTTTTGGTTCATTTTAAACTTTTTATTGTGTGTGTGTGTGTGTGTTTAAGTTATAATTAAGAAAAGTCTATACTTTTGACTTTAAGGATCTAAATTCATATTTTGAGTTCATTTTGGCCTTTAAGAATACAAATTATTTTTTAAATAACAAAGAATTGTTGACCCCAATTACCATCACAGCAGCATTAATTTTTTTTCTCCAAAGACGTTTTTGATTATGATGGAAATATGAAGTGACAGGGTAGTACATCCAGCGGAGTGACCATTTGAAAATCAGAAATGTTATTAAATTCAAGGTTTTTACATGAACTTGCAGTAGGTGTCATTACCAAACTAGTCAGTATTTAAAAAAATGTTTAATTCTGAAATCATTTCACTAACACATTTTTCTATAAATTCAAAGATAATTGACTGCTAACAAACTATTTTAGCATGTTTACAACTTGTTCAGCTTTTTCTCCAAAAGGTGAAAAATATCATTACCATCACACTTCGTGAATACTCGTCAAAATGGTCAGTTCGACAATTTTGTGTGTATTTCTCCATTCATGCGACGTGAAGGAGAACTGAATTCAGTCGTGCGCTGTGTGAGAGGCGCTTTTCTGTGTGCGTGCTTCGGGAGTGTGCGCTCAGAAAACCTAACCGAATTGAGTTAACCTTTGCATCATCATGCGTTTCAAATGTATCCATATGTCTTCTCTTCTCTTACTCCCAGATATTGACTTTTTTTAAGTTTTATTAGATGTGCAGCAAGTATATCCTAGCTTATGTCCCGCCGGATAGGGTCAAAAGTTTCATCTGGAGTGAGGATTAGTTGAAATGTCTTAGTTTAGACCCACATGGACTTTCATTTAGGCAAGATTATAAATGATAAAAAAAATCTGTTTTGTTCATGAAAAAGTGTAGTGATCAATGTAGAGCCATTGCTATATTAATTGGCAAAAATGAATGGATCACATTCATAGAAACTAAATAATCCAGACAGACCAGTTTAACATACAACGGCCATTAAGTTGAAATATAACCTGTTTTACGACCTTGAGTTACTACAAACATTCATTTATTGACTCAACAAATACTGTCTTTTTCAGTGAAACAATGTGCTATCTACAGTATAAATTTTATTTATATATATATATAGTATTATAGTATTATAGTATAATAAATAATATATTCAATTAATTATATTTATTGTTCTGTTTTATACATACAATTATTAGAGAATATACAATTAAAATATAATAATATATAAAATTTAAATGTAGAATATTTTCTATATATTTTATAATATTTTTTTATACGGACGGTTATTTTTGTTGTTATTTTAATAAGATTAATAATTAAGTAAGTGATTATAATAATGCATGGACAAACACACATGTATATACAGTTAATGTATCAAAGAAATATTATGTAAAATAATACAGTTGCATACAGAAGATATGTAAAATAATAAATAATATAGTTCCATTTGAGTCCGCCAGCTCCCTGGTCTTTGTATTCAATAGCTTTGCTAGTGCTAAAAGTAGCTGTTGCGTTCCCTTGTCCTCATCTGACCTCCTTAGCCATATGTTTGTGTGGAGGTTGGTGTGTGTCTGCAGACTGGGCTGAACAGTACATCGTATGACAGCTGCAGTGCAGCGGTGGAGGGTGTGCGACTGCGCAGTCACATCCACTCTAAACGCATCTCCATGGAGAGACCGAGAGCGTGACTGCCTGCCCTGAGGCGTTTGACATCCTCCCAGAAAAAGGAGAGAGCAATGCCTTGCTGTGACGTCATATATGAAAACAGCTGTGTGGCAGCATGCTTAGTCATACTCGTGCTCTTTTTTTTTTTTTAAGATAAGATATAAATGCAGTGTTTGTCAGTGTCATGGGAATAACTTTTCACATAATGCACCGTTAATATATTAAGACAAATGAATGCTAATGTGCTTGGAAACTTTTCAAACTGAGTTTGCTTATAATAATAATAATAATAATAATAAGAGTGAGTATCATATAATTATTATACATGATAATTATTATTAAATTATTATAATTTCTGTCACTGTTTAAGATTATTAGAAAGAAAATATATAAAAAATATACAATTCAAATTATTTTAATAATATTAATTATATTATTATTTTAATATTATTAATCTATTTATAAATTATATTATTTAGGAATAAATTATAATTAGTTATTTCATGTAATGCACTTTAATATAATGTGGAAACTTGTGTGCTTCTAAAGATAGCAAGCTTGCTTGCAAAAACAACTTTCTCTATAATTATTATATAAAAAGAAATAATATATATTAAATATTATTACTGTATCTATAATTTGATCATTCAACATACAAGATTATTAAAGAGAACATAAACAATTAAAATATAAATAAACATACAAAATATGGAATATATAGAATATAATTCAATTTTTAATTAGATTATTAATTATATTTATCATGGTTTAATTATTAAAATCACAATTTCTGTCAATATATAAGATTATTGGAGATAAAATATACAATTAAAATCTAAATAAGCAAAATATAGAATATATAGTATACAATTTTAATTTGTTTTTTAAATTATTTATTACTATTTCTAATTATTATTCAAATTCTATCATATTTAGAAATAAATGATAATTAGTTATTTCACATAGTGCACTGTTAATGTAATGTGCTTTGAAACTTTTGTGTGCTTCTAAAAATAGTGTGCCTGCTTGCCAAGACCACTTTTCCTGTTTACTCCCCCTCCCTGCCCCACTGGCTTTAAACTCCAGTCCGGTATCGTGAGTGTTCGGACCACAGCTTAACGCTTTCCCTCGTGCGTACTTGTAGAGTAAGAAACCACATAGGGGATCCTTTGTTTAGGAGGGTCTAGGCATGGCTGATACTTTTACAAGTCGCTAGAGTCCCTTCGTGATTGGCTGACAGGGTGCTGTCTGTGTGTGCGAAAGGCATGCGTCGGCTGTCTGCGGCAGTGGCGATCCAAAGCCTCTCTCCTCTGCACTGATCATGCAAACCTGTGCTGCTCGTGCTGCATCTGCCACTATGGCCACTTATTCTTCTGAAGCCGAGGGAGGCAAGATGGCTACCTTTTAGGATTATGCTGCCCAAAATTGAGGGTCTGCCTCTGAGGAATGAGAAGGTACAACACCAGACTGGATTGTAATGGCTATTGTCTCAAACAGATGCTCCTGGGAGAGTGTGTGTGCACTGGGAGCTTTGTGCGCTCGTATGTGTGTGTTTATGCTCTTGTTGTCATTGCTGCATCATCAGTAATGTGCCATCAGCTAATGTTTTGCTTCTTCTTTCAGGTAGGGTGCAAGGATATTTCCAAACCGCAAAAAAAAGAGCAAGGTTTTAAGGTAACAGACTCCTATGTTTTTCTCAAGTTTTTAGGCACAGAACATTTTGTGCTCTCTGGTTCTTTTGATGCAGCATCTCAAATCAGTGTCTAAGAGTTTAGCTTGGCTGAAAGGGCAGCCGCGAGTGTGTGTTCACCTGCACCGTGAGGGTTTTTCTTCTGTACCGAAGTTCAGAAACAGGAAAGCAGCAGCGTATGAATGAAAAAACCTCACAACTTCAGAGAAACTACACACGCTCTCCAGGAAGGAAGTGTGCGTTTTTAGAATTAGCGTAACAGCGAGGGCTTGACGCTGTGGAAGTTTGCACACAAAGTAGTTTGAGCAAAACTACTGGCTTTGATGTGTTCAGAAGAGGGTTCGTAACCGAGGAACTTGGCATAAGATGCACATTCAAGTTTTAGGGGTGATGGTTAATGTCTCAAGAGTACCTGCTAAATTATAAAGACATAATACAAGATACTATTTTGCAGCATGTGTGATATTTCTATGCTCCGTGTTATTCAATCATAGCTGTGTTTTTGAATGAGCCTGTGGTGTGGAAGCTCTTGGGTGAGATAAGCAGGGTGTCAGGTCTCTCCTCACTCTGTTTGGGTTGGATACTCCCCTTCTGCTCTAACTTTCCCTGGTAATGCTTCCTAAGGGAAACTTCTTAGGATTCTGGCAGTATGTGCGCTGTTGCTAGGGGTGTGTGTGTGTGTGTGTGTGTGTGTCTGGGGGAGCTTTTACTACAATGAAAAGAAGACAAAGTCAAGTGTGACTTTTTTTTAGTTTTCAAGGCTTCAGACACAACAAATCAAGAACAAAGCCGTTGAGGCACTGCTGTAAGAGAATAACGTTTGATGTGCTGAGAATGAGCAAACCGTCCCTCTTGAATGTTTCCAATAAAAAGCACATTTTCTTCTGTGTTTTTCAGGACGTTGTAGTCTACAGTTGTTTTTGACCCATATGAATTCAGGAAAAGTATGTAGTCGTTTGAGGAGATTTTCTTTCTGGATATGCTTTCTTCGTTTATTTATAAACATGAAAGTTTTGGACACTGTTACCATGATACTGTAATTTGAACAGCTGGTTGTTGTAGGTCTGCTTGTAATCAGGCCCAGACACAATCTGTGGCATTTTTTTTTCTGCTCAATTCTGTGGATTTTAATAGATTTTAACATGATTTGTGGTGCACACTTATATTTAATACCAAAATGTTTAATAAACATAATAGTTAATAAACTAATTAATAGATGTTTACATTACACTGTGAAAATGTTTGGTCAGGTAACCTTAAAAATTTTATTTATGTGGTAACATTTAAACTGACTGGTTTTATTCAAGTCAAAAATCTAATTAAAATGGCTCATTATAAAACACATAGGGTAACACTTTATTTTAAGGACCAGTTATCACTATTAAAGGGGTCATGATGCGATTTCAATTTTTCCTTTCTCTTTGAAGTGTTACAAGCTCTTGGTGCATAAAGAAGATCTGTAAAGTTGCAAAGACTAAAGTCTCAAATCCAAAGAGATATTCTTTATAAAAGTTAAGTCAACCACGCCTACCTAAAACGCCTAGTTTAAACACGCCCCCCACATCTACTTCACTGTGTGGGAAGATTTGCACAAGGCTGCCCAAATGTTCACGCAAAGAAAGAAGGCTTAACTTTTATTCTCGCTGTAGTATTGTTGTTGCCGCCGCCGCCTTGTCGTGACGGCGCTGTGTGTTTTTTGTGAAAGCGAAACTACTTTGTTTGGCCTTCCAAAAGAGGACGATATCCGCTTCGTCATGCCTGGAGCTGATCTGTGCTGGTCGCTGAGGTAATACATCAACTTCGCACTGTGGATCACCAGATAGGCTTTCACCGTGGACAAAGTGGAGTTCAGCTCGGGGTCGTCACATGTGGTTGCCGCAAGCCCGCCCGCCGCGCTGTTCTCAAGCCCACCGGCCACCGCTCACTCTAGCCCGTCATGTGTGACGCTGTGTTTTGTTGTGAAAGCGAAACTACTTTGTTTGGCCTTCCAAAAGAGGACACAACTAGAAATCAGTGGTTAAGTTGTATTTACAACACTGTTCCAGAGCAGTTCAACCCAAATACATGTGTATAGATGAAATAGATGTGTGCAGCGCATTTTATAGAGGACTGTTTCCAAATCCTGGTAGAATTTGCCACTGACGATTCAAACGTGAGTTTTGAGCAGTGTAGAGTAGCGTTTGTAGTTTGTCATTTCTCCGATCAAAAATGCAGACATGGTTTTATGTTTACACGGCGCGATGCAATGCAACGCGTAAAAAGACGGTATAAGTCATTATAATCCGTAATTATGTCCCCACTGGATGCAACAAATGCCTCGTTTATAATGGGTTTTTTAATGTTTTTGTTGTCACTCCGGCATCACAATATGGCAAGGGGCGTAACATTTTCGTCACACGCTTGAGGTCTTCGGCCAATCACAACACTCTGGATAGCTGGCCAATCAGAGCACACCTCACTTTTCAGACCGATGAGCTGGCCGTTTAATGGGTACTTAAAAAGCAAATATTAATGCCTTATTCTGCATGACCATATTTCAGATCCCTTAATCCTACCCCATACCTAAACTTAACCCTAACCCCATACCTTAAAGGGATAGTTCACCCAAAAATGAAAATTATCCCATTTACTCACCCTCATGTCATCCTAGGTGTATATGACTTTCTTCTTTCAGACAAATCCAATCAGAGTTACATAAAAAAATGTCCTGGTTCTTCCAAGCTTCATAATGGCAGTGAGTGGGTGTTATTTTTCAATAATCCAAAAGAAGTCCAATAAAGCACATCCATCCATCATAAAAACTGTCCCACATGACTTCGAGGGGTGAATAAAGGCCTCCTGAAGCGAATCGATGCATTTTTGTAAGAAACATTATAAACATTAATCTCTAGCTTCCGCTAACTGTCGTATTTGTGTACACGAGAGAGTGGCGTTCCAGCAGATGACGTAGGCGTAGCATAAGGTCCAGTGCGAATATGCTAGTCTTGCGAGAACCAACATTTGTTTACAGGAGCAAAGGAAGCAAAGTTTCCTTATTTTAGCAAAGGAAAGCCAGTATACTCTTGGCTTATATCAAAAAGCCAGGACATTTTATTTAAATATCTCAGATTGGATTCGCCTGAAAGAAGAAAGTCATATCCACCTAGGATGCCTTGAGGGTGAGTAAATCATGGGGTAATTTTCATTTTTGGGTGAAAACTATCCCCTTAATCTTAGTAAACTACCTAACTAACTATTAATAAGCAGCAAATTAGGAGTTTTTTTTTAATCTATTTCATTGCACTTTTTATTTGTATGTGTTGTGTGTACGTATTAGTTTCACAACTCTTAAGTACAACTTTAGTAGTAAAAACAAGTAACAAAGTTTGATTCATTACTGTGAAACAGTTCAGTGTTCATTCATGCAAATTGACTCAAAACTCTTATTCACTGGCATCATCACTTGTTCACACACAACTGTTCAACAAGATGTAAATATTGAATATAAATTCAATCAACAATTCTGTGTTTTTCTGTCAATATGGGGTGCTGTGTGTACATTAATGAGGAAAAAAAATTAACTTAAATGATTTTAGCAAATGGCTGCAATATAACAAAGAGTGAAAAATTTAAGGGGGTCTGAATACTTTCCGTACCCACTGTATATACCGTATTGTCCCGAATATAAGACTATATTTTTTTCATGGAAACGCATCTCAATAAATGATGTCGTCTTATATTCGAGCTCTAGACGATTACATGTCAATAATAACATACACCCGCAAAAATAGGTGGTGCCAAATAGCCTACGGGTAAACGAGTTCCCCTGGACTGAAACAAACTGATAAACGACGGTCGTTTACAGCACCAGGACTGCATGATGGTGAGTGACTGTCCAGAACATAGCGGTTCAAAAGTCGGCCAAGTAAACCAGCAACTGAGGCAAGCTTATGATGCAAATTTTAAATTCATGGTGATAAATGCAGCCGAGTCATCTAACTACTGTCAAGCAGCCAAGAAATACGGCGTGTCAGAATGTAATGTCAGGAGATGGCGAGCCAAAAAAGACAGTCTTAGAAATGCTAATAGTCAAAGAAAAGCTTACCGCGGTCCAAAAAGCGGCCACCTCGAAGAAATTGACCGACAAGTGTGTCAGTACGTAGCCGAAAAAAGAAATGAGGGGCTACCCATAACCAGAGCCGTCATCCAGCTGAAGGCACTTGAAATCGCATACCCCCCACCGAGTTCAAAGCCAGCCTTGGATGGTGCAGAAGAATGATGCGGCGCAATGGATTCTCATTACGACGCAGTCTTGCCCAGCGCTTGCCCTCTGACTTCACAGAGAAACTGCTGTCTTTTCAGTGCTATGTGATCAGTCTAAAGAAAAATCACTCGTATCCCCTGGATCAGATGGGTAATGCGGATCAAACACCTGTGTTTTTTGACATGCCAACATCTGCCACTATACATAAAAAAGGCGAGAAATCAGTCATTGTGAAATCTACTGGAAATGAGAAGAGCCGAGTGACCGTCATGCTAGCGTGTCTCGCGGATGGGACCAAACTTCCCCCGTACGTGATTTTAAAGCTCAAGACAGTACCCAAAGAGGGAATACCCGCTGGAATTATCGTTCGTGTTCAGAAAAAGGGCTGGATGGAGACTGAGCTTGTGGTGGACTGGCTTAAAGTGGTGTGGGGCAGACGAAGTGGGGCACTCAGAAATAAGAGGAACATGCTAATTTTGGATGCTTTCCGTGGACATCTGACTTCGCCGGTCAAAATGCAACTGCATGCAATGAACGGTGACCTCGTCATCATACCAGGGGGGATGACAAGTCAGCTACAGGTGTTGGATGTTGTGGTTAACAAGCCATTCAACGATAATCTGCGCAAGAGATACACAGAGTGGCTGCTGTCTGGCAATCATACACTCACACCATCTGGGAAAATTCAAAAGCCCAAATTCAAAAGTCTGCTATGTGATTGGATACTCCAGGCATGGGCTG